CAGTGTACACATTGACATTGTTAATAGTTTAATTAAGACATATATCTTCAAGCCGAAGACTCTTCTCTAACTCATAGTTAATATAAATTCTCATTTCTCATCATTCACAAATTAACAAAAATTGAAGGAAAAAAAGAATACAAAAACAGAAATATACAGTCCAGGGGCTGCACCCATCCATAAATTCTCATTTACTCATTTATCAAATGCATTCACGGTTTGTATATGGTGCAATATCTTCAAAATACTGTAAATTGAGTCAAAATTTAAACTTTATTTGCTATGGATTGAAAATTTAGGGGAAATGTTTGTATATTTACAGTGGTGCAACCAAAAATTATCTTGAAGAAAATTATAAGCATAATAAGTTACTTCATAAATAATTACGTGCATAAGCCGCAGAACCACTCGTACATAAATGGGAGTTGTAGATGCTTTCTTTTTATAATTTTCACACTGAAACATTCTTTGCATCACACGTTCTAATTAAGAGTATTTCTAAGACTCACGGCGCGGACAAGGCGGAAGCTCCGTTGCTCCAGCCTCCACTCACCACAGGTCCACAGCCCAGCCTCTACAGTTCACTCCAGCCCAAAAACTTACAGTCATAGCTCCAGTCTCCAGCCAGCACACCAGCCCTCAGCCTCCACCGTCCTCCTCAGTCCTCAAAATAATTTCGCCCAAATTAATTTCGCCAACAATCGTGACGTCGGCCATTGCCTAGAAGAAATGAGAAATGAATTGGAAATTGGATTGGATTCATTGGTTTCTTTTATTTAGTTTTGTTAAATGGATAGTAAAACAGGCCATGGATTGGACTAAAAAATTGGGCCTTTTTTTTAAAAAATGAGGCCTGAAAATTTTGAGAACTCCAGCCCAACATCATTGCCTCCTCCTTCTTCTGTTCTTCATCTTCTTCCCGGCTCCCAACCCCTGCCTAGCGGTCGTTTGAAGTTTCCAACGGACCCAGCAGGGCGGCCGCGGGGGCTAGCTGGTGCTGGGTTCGTCCCTTTTTATGTTAAAAGTATGTGTTTTAGCATGTAGAGTGGATTTTTGTACCTAGAAATGTTTGTGTGAGACCAATATAATTAAGATTTTAGGTCACACATCAAATTTATGATTAAGAAAAAAAATCAGTAAACCCGCTGGACTTTCATAAATGATATTGCAGACATGGAACCATACCAAGGATATCTAGGCATTCCGGTAGCAGCAATACGAATCTATGAACACTTTATCGTAGACCTTGACTAGAATATAGTCTAGCATATAGGGCATATCCATGTAGCCTGTAATAGATCTTGATGTACGGGTATCAAACATCTAATGCACACCCTAACTAGCATTTAGTTAAGACCTTCTACAAGCAAGGTAAACCGATTTCTACGGTAATATTGAAATGCCTAAATGAGATCCACCATCCACAAGTTGATTATTAATATTTTATGAGGTCCTTACCTTTCATTGGGTCTAATATATTAGAAGAGTTAATATCGAACTAGGTCGTTGAAGATTTTATTTTGTTAATTTAAAAGATACGGCGTGTGGTAGAAGTGATGAAGTATGGACATACTTTAGATATTTTGGAGACTCAAAATTGATTTATTTGAGGTCAAATGATGTGATTACTATCAGTAAATAAAGCAGTGTAACTGTCTAACGAATTCCAGTACATAGGTATGACTTTGAACAGTAACTTGGGATGTATGTTTTGAATTTTAGGATAAAACCAATTAGAATGGACAGTCTGATGAACATTCTACCTCTGAGAATTGTAGTCACATCGATATCGTGGAGTTAGTTATGTGTATTTTAGCAAAAGAGGACAGTGTGGTGAAACTATTTTTCTCACTTAAGGAATTTATTTCAAGGCCTTATTTGATGAATTAATCCACAAAATTTTGATATATTTTAGGGTAATATATTATGAGTTTACCCACTAAATTTTAGAATTTAGAATGATCGTTTAGAGTGTTAAGTGTTCTCAGAAGTAAATTTGAAACTATATTATTAAGAAAAACTTCGTGCACACTAAATATAGACTTCGTGCACACTAAATATAGGAACTATATTTATTTCTAAGAAGAAGGAATGACAGATAAATAAGAATTTTTTTTTTTTTTTTTGTGGAAGGGGGGCGGTACCTCTGAGATTTTATTAAAATGTCCTCACTTGTGGTTACAAATGATATCAATAAAATCAATAAATAAGGAAGTTCTACTTCCCTGATAGTGAAAGTAAAGAATAAAAAGAAAGCAGTAAAAAATGAGTACTACTTCCCTTACAAAAAGAACAAGTTAAAGCAAAATAAAAGTAAAAGCAAAATACAAATACAAATACCTAAACTTTAGTGATGGACAAATCATACCTGTCAATCTGAACAAGCGCCCTAATATATCGTGG